TAGAGGAAGATGAAGTTAAATGCACAAATACTAGTAGTGTGTAATATATATGTTTAAAGAAATCAATGTTTATCAATTCTTTACTCAGCTTTTTTATTCAACTGATTGTTATATGTATTTCTGTATCTAATTCAGTGTAAGTTCTCAAAAGTGTCTGTTTGCTTCTTGCTTTCTTCAGTTTCTAATGCTTGTTTTCCTTTACTAATTTATTCTCCCTTGCCTTTTTTGTTTGTTTGTTTTTGTTCTTTCTGCAGCTGAAGAATGCTTGGCTGATTCTGACCTGAACTTTCTTATTCCCATCGCAGTGGGCATGGCACTTGGCTTCCTTATCATTCTTGTCTTTATATCTTATATCATTGGAAGAAGAAAAAGTCGTACTGGCTATCAGTCTGTATAAACTCTTAATTCTGCCTCTGTTGTTACCTTCCCTGCTCTTCTCCTTTTCCCAGACTCCCCGATTTGCCCCTTTAGAAAGATGAATTCATAGTTTTTTTGTTGTTTTTTTTTTAATTAAAAAAACCCAAACCCATTTCACAAGAGAGTAACATGCCATGAGCCTGAAGATGAGTTGCAGAGTTTCGTGAAGCTACTGTATGATTTTGGAGTAAGTGTGCTGAGGACCATAGAATTGAGTAGGGTTGATGTGTGTCTACATGAGAATATGTGATTCTTTTGAGTAAAGAAGGCTTTACTGAAGGCTTCACCTACTGAACTTATTTTCTGTTGTTTAGTCTTTTTATACAAGAAAATTTCTAGTTGTGTACATCTCAGATAGTGCTAAAGCTAAAACCATAATTGAAGATGTGAATGCTGTGTTGAAAGGGACTGGACACGCTTTGAGAAGTGAATACCAAGCTCTTAACAGACTTCTGGGAACTTGGCATATGGCTGTTGTCTTTCCTCATTAGCAGCTTGTTCTTGTGAGTGAGTGAATTTCCTATTCCTTCTAAACGTAAAGGTATACATGATCTCACTCATAAACTAACAGAGTATGAGAAGAACATCTGATTCTTTTAGTAAACTAATTTGTTTAACATCAGAATGGGGAAGTTGACAGCTAATGTATGTTAAACAGCTTAGCACCAGCATGATGTCTTTATTGTCTTTATTCACCAAGATAAGGCTCAGTCCTGGAGAACTTGTACTACTCAGCAAAGCCAAGAGGCTGGTGAAGGGAGTATGTCCTGGCCTGTTTTGTTTGAGTTTTCCCTTTTGTTCTGAGCTCAATTGTGAAATCGGGGCAGCAGGCTGGAATTTCACTGGCTGCAGTTTGTCTTGGCTTTGATTCTGTGCACGTAAAAGAAACTACACTGCATTTCAGCACTGGTGCATGTGAGGCTCAGGAGCATTTTGAGAGCCCTCAAAGACTGACTAAGAACACAGATTGTTCAGAGATTCCTGCCATTCCTTTGGACAGCTTTCATAGGTTAATGGGGGATCACTGAAAAGCTGTGGTCTAGGAATGCAGGTGAAGAGAAAACCAGTCTGTTTTGATACGATTAATCTGGTTTTACCCTCCTAATTATTGCTATCACACAGCAGTTGAATTAACATAAGAGCACAAAATTTCTGCTATGAGGAATGCTGATTGTAAAGCAGAAACTAAAGTATACGTGTAGTGAAGAAAGTGACTCCCAAAGAGTAAAAGCATCTTCTTTGAAGACGCTTTGTTTGTCATTAATGCTATAACTTATATTTCTATGTTCCATATCTGAAGTGCACCGAAATAGAAGTCATCACACATTTGTGATTGTGTTCTGCTTCATTCCTGTCAGGTTCGTGTTGATAGGATGACAGGAGCCTCTTGCTCTTTCAACCTCTTTAGTCCATCTTGGTAAAAGCCTTTTGCAGCCTGTAAACCCTGGTTTCCAGCTGTGGGACAGCTCAAGAGCTGCCAGGTCTGCAGAGAGCTACTGACAGCACACAGAGTTTCTGTCCTCTGCAGCAAGTGTTTGCTTAAGCTGCTTTAATATTTATAATCTCTTTGTGTATTAAGCCTCTATCTGTGGCACCTTCAATAATTCCCATGCACAAAGGAGAGGGTCAACACTGATGTTTAAGTAACTAACTCGGAATAGTTACATATTCAGGGAAGGGAGATTTCTAAAGAGTTAGCTTTTGTGTTTGAGAAATACCTGTATGTTCAACTATTCCCGTCCTCACTGTGACCAAAGACAAGCTCTGCCTGAATCTGACAAACTGGGTTTTGTACCACAAATGGGCTCTTGAAACAACTTGTCATTTTTATTTATTTATTTTAGGACTGTAATTTAGTGCTGCTGGGTTGGAGTCTGTGCTTTGGGTTTGCTTGTCTTGGTCTCTTGTGCTGTACCTTTGCTCTCGCAATACTCTGTTTCCCTGCCAGAGTGGTAAATGGTGAATTGTTTGGAGACTGGCAAATTCCGGATAACACAATCTTGTCGGAGTGTGTTGCTTCCCTGCTGCCAGCAGGTGGATTCCATCGGTGGTTTCATGCTCAGATTGCAGATCCAAGTATTCTGCATCACTTTTGCTAGGTCATTTTAGTAAAATGTGGTAATTTCCTAGATGCACATACATATATATATATATATATATACGTATTTCATATGTGCATATAAAGTAGTATTTTGGGCTTCACTAGAAGTCAAAAATTGAGTCAGCACTTTAAGGTCATTGTAGCATGAAAAGTGGCATATGCAGTTCTCCAAATCCTGAAATGACTGTACAAACATGCTGAAAGCTGAATATGTGTTTGGAAAATAAAGTTAACTACAGTGTTTATAAAGCTTTGTTTAAGTGCAAGTAGGCACACATGCCGTTTCTGAGAGCTTGCCCAGTGGGATTGTCAACGTGCCTGGATCTGGATGTTCATGGGGAAACAGAAACTTTTACTTTCAAGCTGTTCACACGTTTATATCCACATTAATAATCTTTCTTTGACTGGATCAAAGCATGGGTCCAGTGTCTACTAAAGGACCAGCTGCTTCATGAATCCTTCCAACAGGCAGGTAGGGAATATGTATATACATAAAAATAGAGTTTTGTCCTGTTGCTGGCTGGAGAGCTGTTAATTTCATGGCCTGAAGTATGAAGGGTTTGGTTTCCTTTCAGGATCCTACAGAAATATAAATGTTTTTAAAGAACTAAAGCAATTGACAGGAAGGGAAATGTTTGTGGGTTTAACTTATTCCTGATGTCAAAGGAAGAGCTGCTACCAAGGCAGCACCTTCTTTGGCAGAAGCCGGTTTGTGTTGGTCAGAACGTGCCCTTTCAGACAAGTTGTGCAGGCAGAACAACAGTGTTGCCCTGGCTCTAGCAGTGTCATCTGAATAACCACATCTGAGCAAAATTAGTTCCTAAACTACCTCTGGTTTAGGTTTTTAACAGTTCTTAATAGTTTTTGCCTGACAGTTGTTTGTGATACTTAGCATATAGTAAGTCTTATTGTACTGGGCTCCTGAACTCTGGCCATAGAAAGTTAATCAAGTGCCCGGAATTCAAGGATCACATTATATGATGCCTTGAAATTCAGTCCCTAACTTGGCCAGCACAGGATGCTGCACTCACAACTGCATCTCTTACACCAGTGTTTTAAGAATGGTACCATAGAGTTAATTTTAATGCAGTTGCTTTATTTTTAATACCAAAATGACTTCATAGACTTATATAGACCAGGAAATGATGGCAGATTGGGTACCTGGACTAGGATGTAGGACAAACATACCATGATGCTCTTGTTCAGTCAGTAAATTTAGTAAGTGTGCTTTGCAGCTAGTGCATTATCCCAAGGTGTCCTGGCCTGCCGTGCTCTCATCGCTCCTGACACACGGAGCGCAGTTCACCTCTTGGATGTGAAGGCTGCGCTGGGCAGGGGGGCTAGGGCTGCTCAGCTTAGCAGCGCTCCGCTCTGACAGGGCACGTGTGCTTCATAGGTCTTTGAGGGTGATCAAGTGATGACTTTGCTAATACCCACGTTGACCCCTTAACAATGAAACAACAGCGTTTCCAGGTGGGTTTCTGCAGCATCGCAGCTGAGACCTCTCTGGAACAGGGAAGAACAGGCCTGAAATACTTGGGGGGTGGGGGTCTAACATGTCTCACTGGCACTTCTTTGCCAGGGGAAGGAGGTGCCGTCAACCTGCAAACCATGACAGGGGGAGAAGAGCTCCTTTCGCTCATCCCTGCCTAATAGACTTGATGAGGATTCTTGGGGCGGAGAGAACTGGGCTGAGGAGGAGGGAGAAATGCATTAATCTTTCCACTTCAGAAAGGAACAGTTGGAAAGGTTCACGGGCCAGGGATTGCCTACATGACCTTTGCTCCAAAACCTTGGGTGTGCTGAACAAGCTGTGAAAATGCTGCAGTCAAGATGCTCCTGGTGCTGAAGATCCTGGGAGACATTTTGAAGTCTGCTGTTTTCCCTTTTTAACCATGGCTTTGAAGGCATAATCCAGAACTTTTGCTCTTTATTATTTTAACAAGAATAGTGTTATAATAAACTATTGTCTTGTTCACTGTTGCCTGAGAAATACACATAAAGCTATGGTCAAGTTTAAAATTCAGAGCCAGGAAAAATGCATTCCACAGGGGTCACCCATAAAAGACCTTATGAAAATAGTGTTCAGATACCAGAGGGTTTTTTTTAATCAAAACCAAAATGCTTTTGCAGGTTCTCTGTCCAGATGACTTTTAATTTTTACTAATAATGATTTACATCAGATGGTGAAAAATGTGGTTCCACGTTCCATTGCATCTCATTTGTTTTGTAACTATGAACAAAAATAAATTAACAAAAATCTCCATGTGCCTGTTTTTCCTAGAAGAAAAAAATGCTGGCTTTATGCTTTAAAAAGGAAAAAGCCTCTGATTGACTTAACCTAAGTGCCCAGTGTTTGCAGTGGCTACTTTCCAATGTTCAACATGAAGATGATTCGGCCCAGGAAGCGGTCGCTATTGAGGTCGTTGATAATACCTCTCCCATTCAGACTGCACTGAATAGGGACCAAATAATTCCTCCTCACATCTGTAAAGTGCATAGCCACCAGTGGGGACGTATAGTTGACCTGAAAAGAAGAGAGATGTAAGTGTAACTTTTGAGGGAGCAGAAAAGCAGGCAGTGCTTCCACGTGCGCTAAAAATCATTGGTAACTGGTTCATGGTTCCCAGGTGTCCAAATGATCACGGTCCTCGGGATGCTGAAGCTGAGCCTTACTGTGCCTCAGAAGGATGGGATCGCACTGGAGTTCTGCACTGCACCGTGCCTGCTGGTTGATTAGCCAGGACAAGTAACACCAGACAAGGGGGCTCTCAAATACTTCCTGCTGTTCTAAAAATTGACCTCCTGCTTGTAATAAGACGTTTGTGGTGTTCCTCAGATCTGTGTGCTGGAAGGACATCCAGACTGGGGCTGTTACTCATCCTCAGCCAGCAGCAGTGTGATAACAGGAGGCTAGTGCCTGCCTCACCTCCCATTTCAGCTTTTGTTGTGGAGCTGCATTGCCTCCTGCTGTGGTACAGCCCAAAGCAGTGCTGGGTGGCATGTTCAGAAATAGCTGCTGGTGTTGGACTGGTTTAAGCCACCAGCCTGAAGTGGTTTTGACATAGCTTTAACAGCAGCCCCATCCTTTTCCTCTTTCATCACTTAACCCCTGATTTCCCTAATGCCCTGGGAAATGCTGGTGTTGAGACCTTCTCTGAGAGTTAGCACAGTCTCAGTCTCCAGATGGTAAATATCACCATTCCCATTGCTGGCAAGGGGCAACCAGAGTCCCCAAGGATTTTCCTCAGTTCGTCAGAGACAGAAATAGAGTACTGTAATCCCAGTGCCTGCGGACTCTCTCCTGCCTGCATCTGCCCAAAATGGCCAGAAAGCACATCTGTACTCTGTGCAGCAGCCCCTGCCCTCTCCTTAACAAGGAGACATAACGAAGATGCCAGAGTCCTTACTTACATGAGTGAACTTGCCATAGTAGGGATAATACATGAGATCAAAAGTCCCGTTTCCAGGGTAGAAGTCCACAGATCTGAGATCGCTCTCGTTGCCTTTCTGTGATTGATTGGAAAAAAATAAAGGGACACACATAGCACCGGGGACACAGAATGCAGCTCCCGTCAGGACGGTGCGAAGGAGCTTTAATACAGAAATCTCTTGCAAATCCCCGTCAGGGCTCAGCTGCGCTTGCCTCCGTGCAGCGTTTGCTGTGGGAGCCAGCTGCTGCTGCAGTGAGCGGAGCATAACAGCGCTATGAAGTCACAGGCAAGGTGCCAGGATTTGTGCCTCTCAGTCCCTGCCCGTGCTTGTCTCGTTCTGTACCGCTCTGCCCAGGCAGCGGGAGCCCTTCCTTCACCCTGTTCCTGGCGGCTTGCAGGGCACTTCCCAGGACCGAGGGTCCTGCTTTTTTTTGGGTCCTGCGGAGCGCTGGGGATGGATGTGAGCAGCTCCTGCCTCTGCCCCCTGAGCTCCAGGCTCTAGCTGGCACCCAGCACCCAGCGCTACCCCAGGGACTGAGCAGGGCGCTGCCGGTGAGGCCGGCTCCGGCAGCGACTCGGAGGGCAAGGTGGGAAGCAGGAGGCTGGTGCGCTGCACCCAGGGGCATTGGCAGCGCTGGGTCCTGTGACTGAGGCTAAAATGGGGATGAATACTGGTGGGGTCCATTAGAGGGAGACATTTGGCCTTCTACACACCGCGCTGCCAAGCACAAAAGAAAGCAGTACCTGCACTTTGCAGTCCACTCTCACGGGGACCCCAGCACCAGGGCGGTAGCCTATGATCTGCAAAACCAAAAGACATCCGTGCTTGTGTGAATGGGTCCTGTGACTGAGGCTAAAATGGGGATGAATACTGGTGGGGTCCATTAGAGGGAGACATTTGGCCTTCTACACACCGCGCTGCCAAGCACAAAAGAAAGCAGTACCTGCACTTTGCAGTCCACTCTCACGGGGACCCCAGCACCAGGGCGGTAGCCTATGATCTGCAAAACCAAAAGACATCCGTGCTTGTGTGAAATGCTGTGCCAAGCATGTGCTGCCTCCCTTCCCCAGAGCTTAAGCTGTTCTACATGCCAGTCACGTTGCTCAGGGCAGGAATTTTGTGCTCCTAGAAGCCGGGTCTGCCACCCCCTGCAACTTGCCCATGCCCAAGTGCTGGATTGGTGCCTGAGAGCAGGGTCAGAGCAGAGCACCCAGAGAGCCCAGACCCCTGGAGTGACACAGCCACTTCCCCACACCATTCACATCCCCCCCGTCTCTTTTCCAAGCAGCACGCACTGAACCAACACGCTATTAGATTTCAAATGAACTCGACCCTGTGAAAATTCCCATTACAAAGAGACTGGGGTCTGGGGTGTATCTTAAAGCTCAGTTCCTCCCAGAGAGGAGCCTGACACAAGACCCTCCAAGCACTCAGGTCTCAGCAGATCAAATAGAGCAGGTTTTGTGTTTGCTTCTTTTTTTCTGTGTTCTAGCAGGTATGAGCCAGCAGGTTTGGGGGTTCTAGTTCCCTTTGCCCTGGGCCTGAGAAGTGGACCGGTTTCAGTCCCTGTGTGGTCTTTATCACACTGGGACGCACTGAAGGAAGGAAGGAATAAATTAAGATAACCAGCTTTCTCTGTACCCGTCAGGATGCAGGGCTGGCCTTTAGAGTAGCCAAACGTTGGGTCCTCAATGCCAGAGCAGTTCCGCAGAAGTGAGCGTTTGAACTGGCAGGCCTTCTTCTCCTCGCTTTCATTGCCCCCTTGGATGAAGTACTGTCCTGAGATGCACTCGATATTCTTCTCCTCTTGAACTTTGTCATCATAAGCTGGTGGGGACCAAGAGACCTGTTAACATTTCTCGAGACCTGCACATGCCCACACTTTCAGAGTACATCTGCATGTCAAGGCAGTTAGAAAGTCCCACCCAGAAAGGCAAGGCTCTCCCTCCCACAGGAGCTCCCATGACCATTTTAAGAGCCTCTATTTCTAGATCCATAAGATGCCCACGAGGAGATCCCTGCACTGTGTGCCTGTGTGCAGGGATGTAAACAAGTTGCCAGTATGACTCTGGGGTGACTAAGAGCTTACCTGCTAGGAAGTGGTGCATGCTGTCCACGTAGGGCTGCCACGTGCTGCGCTGAGAGACGTTGAAGGCAATGGTGAACCCGTTCAAGTACGGTCTGATCATTACTCCTGGAGGAGGAGACAGACCCTGTTAGAGCAAATGTAGGTGGACTGGCCATGGGCTTGGGGTACGTTTTGCAGGGGCTGGTTGCACTGCGACTGGGCTCAGAGCTGGGCACAGGATGAGAGCGGCAGCACCAGCTCACAAACCCTCTCCTAAACCCGCTGGTCCCTTACCTCCATTTCACACCCAGAGAGCACAAAATATCCCAGGAAATATGGGAGACCTGGAGGATCTCGGTAGCGCTGCAGGAAAGTGATGGGCTTGGGTATGCACATGGGTGCTGAGGGGTCCAGGCTCCAGACAGGGAGCAGGGTGAGGGGGCCTTGTGTTCCCCACCAACATGGGGAAACACAGGGAAAATGCTGCTTCTGACATAGGGAAAGGAGTTTTGAACATTATCTTGCCAGGACTCCACAAAATAATAATGCATAAAACCTTAATTTGCTTTTCATTTTGAAGATATGAGGTATAAAGGGGCAGCAGCTGAAATGAATGGACATCACCTATGAAATGCCTAAACCTTTAAAATTGAAATTTCACTCTCATTTACCTTGTGACAACAGTAATTAGCATAATTGGAATAACAATTAGTATCATTAGAATGAATGCTTCACACGAGGCTATTGAAGATGCCTCATCCTCTGCGGAGAACCTGCAGCACTGTCAGTGCCTTGAGGTAAGTGATAACACCCTGTGTTGTGGAGGGCTGGTTGCCCGTGGGTGCGTACAGCTCCAGCAGAGCTTTACCCCGCTCCCTGCCCTGCCACTCCAGCAGTGCATCGCTGGGTGAGTGCAGGGAGGTGCCCGAGGCCGGGCTGGCGGGTACGTACCTGGCGGAGACACACGGTCCCGGTACGTCGGTGTGTAGGGGCTCAGCGTGAGCAGCATCACGTACATGCAGAAGGCAAACATTCCCGCCAGGCACGTGTAGAAGATGAAGTAAAACAGTAAGATCAAGCCTGCAAAAGAGAGGGGGCACGTTGCTGTTAGCGCAACTGGAGCACGTCCCACGGGGAGCATCCTGCAGGGACGCACAGCCGTGCTCAGCACGGCGTCCTCTGCAGCTCCGAGTCCGTCGTGGAGGTGGGAGCTCACAGTCCCCCTCCGCACACAGACCCCAGCATTTCTGGATGCGGGACTCTCAGCCTGACACGCTCCCTGCCCAGCCCAGGGCCGGGCCAGTGGCTGCTTGGCTCTGACCCCTTTTGCCACTTGGCCCTTCCCAGAGCTGTGCCAGGACCAGGTCTGTGTGTTCCCCTGCCTCAGCTCTCTCTCTGACAGACAGACCCAGTCTTGTCTCTTGCCCTTCCATTCCCTCTTGGCATGGTAACACGTACCCAGTGGCTTCCGCATGTCTGAATTCCCAATGGGGGCTGTGGGGCGATGCTCCTGCCCTGACTCCTCTCACCTGCATGTCAGGGACACCAGCGCTGGGCATCGCTCAGGGGCTGCAGCACCGCTGGCTCTTTCATAGCCCTGACATCTCAGGAATGGGTTTGTTTTTCCTCTGGACCAGGCTGATGGCTGAGGATGTCTCAAGAGGCCACAGCCTATGAATAAAACCCAGTGGCTCCGAAAGCAAAGTGAAGCCCTAATGCAAACATTTCCCAGGAGAAACGTGCCGGCAGCTCAGAGGAGCCCTGGGAACGCAGATGTGCTCTCCTGCCGTGCTTCTGCCGGGGCCACGGTGCTGGGAACCAGTGCAGGGCCGTGTCCTGCTGTGGGCTGAGCTGGGGCAGACGGAACCATCACTGCTGCTGGTGGCACAGCGGGGACAACATCCAGCCCTGCCACAGTGATGCTGGGATGTTGCCTCTGTGCCAGCCTGGCGGGGCGGGAGCTGCCGCCGGTGCCGCGCCCCTGTTTTGTGGG